CTATCTATCTATCTATCTATCTATCTATCTATCTATCTATCTATCTACCATTGCAACTTCAAGCAGTCACTAAAACAGGGAGTTGATAAGTGAAGACTATGTGTATAATACTGAGTTCAGAGTTCAACTGATTCCATAATCAGACCAGAAAACAAAGTAATTTCACACTACTGAAAACAGTATCATGACAATTCTATGACCATTCCATATTAAAAGATTATCAGCATTTATTATACTGTTCTATTAGTACATCTTATAATTCAAGCTTACATTAACTAAAAACTGAAGCTCATAAAATGTAGATAATTTTAGTAAAATGTAGGCCTTTCAGAAACTGGGGAGCATACAATGAAAACATTTAGAATGAAAACATTAGGAAAGTAATATAGACTGGCATCAAATTGCTGCACACTGCTGTTATATTTTGCACTCATTCAGTTCATCATTCTGCCTAGAAATTATACTTCTAAGCAAAACATTTCGTCCAATTTATTATTCAGTTTATTGGGCACTTTGTTGCTTGGACTTCTTGGGTACAGAATTGGGGGGGGGGAGGAATGGATTGAAAATAAGAGTGCACATCACAAAGTCAAAGGCACTTGCTCATGCTGAATTTCTAACTAACAATGGCACATATCTTGCTCCTGACTTACCTCTTTAATTAGATTCATAAAACGGGTCCCAAACCTCCATGGTTTGTGGCGATTACACTGTAATGAACTGACAGTCATCTGTGGAAACTGCTGGACAGCAACTGACACCACATGAACAGCATCATACATTAAAGCTGCATCTGTCTGAAATGAGAACACAATCAATGCTGTGAAAATGACCCAGAGAAATTGCATCACAGCAAGTCAAAGAAAAGCCATACTCCTTCCACCTTACCTTATGACAGAAGAAAGTGATAATATAGTTTTCTTATTAAAAGAATACATGATGATTAAATTATGCACCTCATGAAGTACATGTTGCTACAAATTTCATCTTCCTTTCTTTTTCAGTAAGAAGAAAAATAAGAAAAAGAATCTGGTTTGAATTGTGTGAGGGGACAGAAACATTTAAGGCCTTACCCATTCCTCTCAAATTAGGTTTAGAAATGGATTAAAACTGTCAGGTTCCCTTGCTCCCCAAATCGTTGTCTAAACAATATTTCTAAATGTTGTTTAAATTCTTATTTTAGAACAATAAATTGAATTCTTCTTCAGTAGATAGAACTCTTGCTGAGGTGAGATAATGCTTAATTTTAAGGATTTTATGCTACACTTTATATTCAATAATATTCCCAACAAAGGCATTTAAAGAAAACTGGAGAGATGATGCACTGTTTTGTTTGAAACATCAGACTCTGTGTGTGTGAGTGTGTGTGTGTGTGTGTGTGCGCGCACACGCGTGTGTGTGTGTGTACTGTATATGTATATGTATGCCAACCTAGCAGTTCAAAAGCATGTAAAAATGCAAGTATAAAAATAGGGACCACTTTGGTGGGAAGGTAACAGCATTCCGTGCACCTTCAGTGTTTAGACATGCTGGCCACATGACTGCGGAGCCATCTTTGGACTATGCTGGCTCTTCGGCTTTGTAACGGAGATGAGCACCACCTCCTAGAGCCAGAAACGACTAGCACGTATGCGTAAGGGGAATGTTTACCTTTATATGTATGTGTGTGTATACATACATACATGCACACACATACATGTATGCACAAACATACATACATGCACACACACATACATACATTTAATACTTTGTTTTCCACAGACATTGCATGTTTGTTCTTTCTGCATGTGAGTATAACTCTGCATCCCTTCTCAGAAGTAGTAGCTTCTATTCATTGACAAAATTAGTGAGCTGTGAAATGAATTAATTAACAATTGGAAGCCTAGAGATTACTGAATTTGTCATCACAACACAACCACAGAGTTAACTTCTATAATGTCCTCCATACAAATTAATCCCAACTCACTTTACAATAAAACAAAACATTAAAATTGTAAAACTACTCTTAACTGTTAGAGACCATAAGCTGGTACTAAAAGAGATAACACACGTTTAGATGTAAATGGGACTCCTGTGATGACATTTCCAAACTAAAAAGAGGAATAATTCTACTGCTTAAAATGGGTTGTAGAACAAAATCATGCAGTGTTTAAAACACCTGGAGTTGCTACTCATGTGGTAGATTTGTAAAAAACGTCAGAGGCCTCAAAATGATTTACTGACTTGTATTTAAAAGTGCTTTTAAGACTAATATGAAACCATTGTGAGAGCCAAGTATCTTTTGAATCCTGACATTACAATGGTGAACATGATTTATGTAAGTGGAAATTCTAGAAGCAGCTTTTTATGCAATTTAAATCACATTCTATGCAATTTAAAAGTTAGGAAACAAGCACAAAGTAACAACAACAACAAAAGATCCAAGTCCTTCTAAAAATCTCTGCATTGGTACTCAGCTTCTTCCACCATCCTACCTTAATGTACTATGCAGTAATAAATCCAGACTCCAACTATGTGAGCTATATGGTCTTAACAAAATTTTGCATCAGTTTGGCCTAAATTCTATGGCAAGAATGCTCCATTCTTCAACCAAAAATGCTTCTATTATGCAGTATGTATAGGGAATCAAGGTATTCTGTTTTTCACATTTTCACACATACCTATTTTGATGGACGACTTTAATGGATAAGTAGGGAAAGAACATACAGTAGATGCTGCTCCTAGGAGCAAGATTAAAAAAAAAAAAAAAGAATGTGCTCATCTCCAGGTGGTCCTTGATTTACAACCACAGTTGAGCCCAAATGCTAAATGAGACAGTTACTAAGTGAGCCTTGCTCCATTTCACCAGCTTTCTTATCACAGTTGTTAAGTGAATCACTGCAGTGGTTAAGTTAGTAACGCAGTTTGTTAAGTGAGTCTGGCTTTCCCATCAACTTTGCTTGTCAAAAGATCACAAAAGGTGACCATATGACCACTGCAATGTCATAAATATGAGTCACCTGCCAAGCGTATGAATTTTGATCACCTGACCATGGAGATGCTGCAAAGATAATAAGTGTAAAAAGTGGTCATAAATCACTTTTTCAATGTTATTGTAACTTTGAACAGTCACTAAATGAACTGTTGTAAGTTGAAGATTACTTGTATTGCATTGGTGGCAGGAGAGAGATCAATTCTTCTCCCCTTTCTTTCCAGGTGTTCTTGCTCCAGCTACGGATAATTGTTAAATTATGTTCACCAATCCCCAACACAGGTTCATAGAGCCAATAGCAAAAAAGAAAAAAACCTTGGGGAAATGTTGTCTAAATCTTATTTAGAGAGATTGCTGGCTGGGTCTGCTGAGAAGTGAAATGAAATTGAAAAGGTTTTATTCTTAAAGTAACAGATGGCGGTTAAGGGAGAAGTGGACAAGGGATGAAGTATACTTCATCAGACTATCTTCCTGATGTAGATATACAGACATGGTTAACAAAAGAGTTGTTTTCAATGGTCAGAGATAATTTGATTCATATAAATAATGTAGTAAAATTTTGAGGCTTTAAAACTCGGATTTCCAAAGTCATCTGGCAGTATTGATGATTTTTCCCCACCACATTTTTTCCATATTAATTATCAACCTTGATATTGCTTCATTGCATTTCCAGTACTGTGCAGAAATGTCAGTCTGCTAATATTTTAAATATATATATAAATTGTATTTTGAGGTTAGGGAAATAGAGAAAGAAAAACAAGACATTCTTGACAAGATAATTCACTTCATATAGATGAAATAAATTGTTCTATTCTATTCTGTTCTGTTCTGTTCTATTCAATAGAATAGAATAGAATAGAATAGAATAGAATAGAATAGAATAGAATAGAATAGA